ACTTAAGATTATCAATACAGTTACACATACAAAAATAATTACTTTACAAACATCGTTATAGTCATTATATGAGTTTAGTATGTGAAATGTTTGTGAAAAATACCGTGTTAGTATGTGAAAATAATTCTCGTTATAATAGTTGTGAATAGATAAGTTTAGTATCACTTATAATCAAGCCATAAAATTCACTTAATCACCACAACGAAAGGCATCCATACGGAACTAAAAGATATAAAATAGTTATAAATAAGTATAGTAAAGATTAACTGTTCTAAAATATTGAAAAATAAATTAATGATCAAGAAGTATAAAAGTTAGTCTAATATATCATACAATACGTTCCTTAAGTCGAGCTACTATAGTTAAATGCTTTATACAAACATGTATTTGTAAAATATTATAAAACATAACAAATTTATATTAGTTCATACATTATATATAGTAATCATGTTCACGAATATATTGCCTTTCTTTTGTCTTTATCTTATTTTCAACCTTATCTTCATATACTTAAAAGATTTTGTTTCAACATCACAAATCAAGTTCTACTAGTAATCATTCATAGTTGAATTGGAGAATCATATTAGGTTTATTGAGGAGAAAATTCATCGAAGATACGTAACATTAATGAGATATAAATTCAAGCACGTAAGAAATTAACGTTACTTTATCCCCAAAATTCAAGACAGTGAGTTAATGGGTTTTCACTGTTATATAGTACTCCACTCTCTCAGTTTTACTCAATGTGGAACTTAGACTCACACTTGAACACCCTGTGAGTCTAAGTCCCACCGTGGATGACATAAACACCTTAGATGTGTGCATGTTGTTTGATCAGGAGATGAGATTCGCAAATATTTTGGAGGCTCCTTTCATTAGTTTTTATGCACTCACAATGTTAAAGTAAGAATAAAGACTAATAGAGCAAATAACTAAAAAGGTTAGAGTGCAACTCTATGATGAAGTCATTGAGCAAGTGATTGAAAGGGTTATGCGTCAACTTCAGTAGCAGTTCGAAAGTTATAGTATTCGTCCGTAAATATCTCTGGTGGATAAAACTCACAATCATTTTATGTTAAGTTATGAATTGAAAAATTGTTCTTTAATAAAAAAACATTTACATTTGCTCTGATAGGTTGAAACATAGATAAGACTTGTTCAACCATTCCTACTAAGGGATGACACGAACGACCCTCATCCATGTCATCTATATGTTTTTGATGATACAATAAGGACAGTGTCAGCTATAATAAAATATTCAAAGAGAGTATTCAGAACAAAGTATGAAAGCACAATGTCAACTAAATTTAAAAAATTAAGATTAAATAATATAATTTGTCTCATTTTCTAAAAAAAATCTCAAATCGGTATCGTTTTTTGATATATCTATGTTTAGTCTTTATTTTAAAAATTGTGATACAATGAGATCTTTCTTTTGCCAATTTATTAACGTAACATATCATTCATGTTTTATTTTTTACTTTTTAAAATTGTTTTTACTTTTATTTTTTATTTTTAAAAAGAAAAGTAAATATCTGTTGCGTGTCAAGTTGACAGCGTGTCACGTGATAGTAGATGTGCAGTGGCAGTGTCACATATCGTTATTACTTTAATCTTAATTTAGTCTATGTATTATTATTTGTTTCAATTTAGTCTAATTTTTTTAAATGAAGTAATTTTGTCATTTTTCAAATCAAAATGAAATTTATATTTTTTATAAATGTTATACAGATATTTTTATTAAAATTAATTCTTTTATTAAATATCTTTAACAAGATTAAATTTATTTATAGTTATATTTTATATCAAATTTTATTTTAATTTATTTTCAAATTTTGAATTTTTGTATAAATGTTAAACAAATTGAGACATATAAAAAAAGTGTATCAATTTAAGATTCTTACAAAAAAAAAATGAAGTAGAAAGCATAAATAGTATATTTTTACTCAGACGGAGACAATAAGTTGGAGAAAAAAAAGAATGAATAAATGATTTAAGGAAAGAAAGTGAAATATGATGCAAAGAAAGTAGTCACACGTGACCACCGTAACAACGTTGGAAAATAGGATAGGATCATTTGTGGCTCAACATGTAGATAAGAGAAAAAAAAACAAAGAGAATCACTTTGCAACTTGTTTTATGATACATTTTCTTGGCTGGATTTACTCGTTGAGAGACACAAATTTACGGTGTTGATTGATGTTCTTTTTCAGCAATTTAAGGGTCAGGAGAAAAGGAATTTGTGAGATGCACTATTTTTCCAATCTCACTTGAAATGAGGTTTTATCATATTGCTCTCGTTAAAATCACGTTGATTATGGGTGCATTGTTAAGCTTTTCAGTGGTGGGAATCAGTTCTGGTTAAAATGAGACTGATTTTGTGATTATTTGATTTAACAAAGGGAAAGAAAAATCGATTCTGAGTGGAGTGAAATTGATTCCTATGATTTGAGTGGTGAGAAGGAATCGGTTTTTATTATAGAATAATTGATTCCCGTTAATATATATATATATATATATATATATATAGGAGTGAAAAAATAAATTAAAAATTTTCAATGATTGAGATATATACTTTTTGCTAAACTAGAAACATGATACCCATCTTAGTTTCCACGACCTTGATACAAACATTATCAACACTAATAAAAATATGTGTTGTATATGTTCATGAAACCAAAACAAAGACAAAAACAATTTTCATATTAAAAAAGTTAATAAAATCCCGTGAATGTAAAAAATTTTGCAAAGAAAAAGTATATAATATTTATATAATGAGTAATAATAATAATAATAATATCATATTATTATTAAATAATACTGTTAAGAATAAACAATAACAATAATATATTAATTTTAACATAAAGCTAAAATCATAATTTTACATTTTAATTTATTAAAATTTTAATTTTTTATATATCAGATAAGACCTTTAACAAAATTTATCTTAAAATTATTTATTTTCACTTTCAAATCTTTTAAAAAAATTACAAAAATATAATTTTTAAATCCATTTAAATTTATTTATTTATTCTCGTATTCTTATTCGTAAGTGAACATATTTAGGATAGCATAACTATAATAAAATACTATTATTTTTAACACTTAATAAAAAAAAATCATTTTTTATAAATATTAAAACATATTTAAATGTAGATTGTGAACTAATATATGTAATATGAAAGAACATTTTTCTAAACATAATACGAGGACATATGTTTTTTCGCATTCATCACGTGAATTCAAAGGATTCAATCATTTAACTTTTGACAATTATTTTGTTTTGGAATAAATCATTTAACTTTTGACAATTATTTTGTTTTGGAATAAAATAATGATACATTGATTACATATTTTTGTTACAACATTGTATGTGTCATTTTATGATTGATTCATGTTAGTATTTATAAATTATTATTATTGATTGTGAAATAATTTTGGACGAATCACAAATAACACGTAAATAATATTAAAATATCGTAAAAAAAATGTTTTCAGAAGTGTCCTTATTTTTTTTTAATAACACTGTCAAACAATGATTTGAAGTAATGAATAGCAGTGAAATATTGCGTAAAAGGACACCTAAAGTAATATAAAAAAGAAGTGAATAGAAAAAACGTAATGAAAAACCAATAATAGCATAAGATTAGAAATTGATGGAGACAATTCTTACCGCATTAAATTTGAAATAGTGGCGTTGTAAATGAAGGGCTATACATTAATGAGGAAGATGGAATGCTCCGTCAGTCGAGGCTCATGTCCCTCGACGGTGGGGAAGCCACGACTGTCGAGGCTGATGTCCCTCAAACTTTAAAATATATATTGGGACAGTCAACGTGGTTCCTCTTCCACCGCTAATATAAATCTCTTTCTAAAGCCCCACTTCCGCCCAACAAATATATACTACATATAATAAATATTAAATATATTTTAATATTTTAAATTTAACGCTAAATTAAATTTTTAATTTTAATAATACGAACATAAATTTTATTACTTTTAAATTTTTTTATATATTTTAACCTCAAACTTTAAAATATATATAATTATTTTAATTTTATAATATTAAACTATTTTAACATATCAAAAATATTTTTTAATGAATATTATAACATGAATGTGTCAAAAATATACATAATTTAAATTTAATATAAAAAGTGTTTGATATGTCAATACAATTTATTATAAATATAATTACATTAAAATAATTATATTTATTTATTTTTAAAATTTGATAACAATGTTTTAAGAAAAATTCAAATTCACATTAAAATTCAAAAAATATATTTAACGTTAAATAAATTATTAAACTATGAAAGAAAATAAAAATAAAAATACTGAAAATGTTTAACAGATTTTACAATGTTATTATTTTACGATTAAATTTATAAATTAAAAACTTAAAATATATATGTTTAGAAGTCTCAGATAAATTATAAATACAGTAAATTTAGAGTATATATATATAATTATAAAGTTTATCTCATAAATCAATTTTATAAAATTTAGTTAGATTTAAAAATTATTTATTAATATAATATTAAAATTATAAATTAAAATTTATTTTAACGATTTTTGTATTTGTTAAACATATAATTTTATCTATTATCAAATTATAATTGAATCATTTATTAACATCTAATTTTATCTTTAAAAATTAATTTAAAAAGAAAATTAATTTATATTCTAACATTAAAAAATATATTAAAAATGTTATATAACTAAAATTAAAAAATTAATTTAAAAAATATATAAATATTAAATTAATTTAAAATTCTTTAATTCGTAACATAAGCAGACAAAGACTTTATATGAGCTAATATATTTTTAATCTTTCTATTTTTGTCTGGGGTCACCTTTCTCCTGCCTAGAGTCTGCTGCCCCTACCCTACCCTTTTTAAATAAGTTGTGCTGCTGACTGCAGCATTTGCTATTATCACACAGCAGCATTTGCTATTATCACAGAACCGCCACAAAAAGGTGATACATTAAAACTGAAACATGCATACAAGCACACCCACTAGTGCCAGCACAATTAAAATCAAGTGAAAGAGGTAGCTTCTGCAGAACTCAGATATGGGAAGGGCTCCTTGTTGTGAGAAGGTGGGAATGAAGAAGGGGAGGTGGACGGCGGAGGAAGATGAGATTTTGACCAAGTACATTCAGGCCAATGGAGAAGGTTCTTGGAGGACGTTGCCAAAAAATGCAGGTAAAAAGCTAATTAATGCCACAACTATTATACATATATACTTTGCTTTTCTGGGTACCTTTTTGTTGACTGTGACCTTCAGCTATATAATTATTCTACAAGCCTCTAATTTTCAGCCATGGATCGAATCACTTTTTCTCTGACTGCCATTTACACTTTTGGGTTGTGCAGGATTGTTAAGATGTGGGAAGAGTTGCAGGTTAAGGTGGATTAACTATTTGAGAGCTGATCTAAAGAGAGGAGACATTTCTCTCGAGGAAGAAAACACCATTGTCAAGTTGCATGCTTCGTTAGGCAACAGGTTAGTTTCCAGATCATTCTCATGCTCGTTTCTCAGATTAAAGCCACTTATTTTCCGTCAAATTTAAACTTCATAAAACTCCTACTTTTAAACGTTATAAATGTTTCAAAATTAACATAACCATTTCTTCTCCATACTTCTCACTCATTCAATAGACAAAATGTATTTCTAAGCACAAAAGCACCTCAAACTAATGCAGCATGTCAGTCTTACTAATCAAAATTTTATGAATATTGCTCTTTGTTTTCTTTTTCTTTTCATTTGCGTGATTACACAAACTTTATTTTAAACAAATTTACTAAATCAACCAAATAGCGGCTTGGTTGAAAAGAGAACTGTGAGAAAGAGACTTCGACAACAATTCCTGCAGAGATTTTTTCATTAAGCCTAAGTTAGACAAACTTTATTAAAAAACATATTGACTATATCAACCTATTACTGTCTTTTTTAGTTTTTTTTTTTTTTTTATGAAAATTAATGTCTTGTTTATATGAAATGGAAAAAGAGAGAAAGAGACCGTGATAGCAATTATTGTAAAAGTTGTTTTCATTTATTTAATTTAGGCAAACTTTATTTAAAACAATTTACATAATCGGCCCATTAATTCTTCGTTTAACTGCAAAGAGACGGGAGGAAGAAAAAAAAAGACATGGATAACAATATTTGTAAAATTATGTTAAAAGAAAAAAAAACTATGGTATGTTTGGATAATATAAGAGAAAATAGAGACATGAAAATATAGATAATAGTATTATTGTTTGATTAATAAATAAAGGAAAATATTTTACTTTTGTGTACTAAAGAACTATACAATTTTTTTCAGCTTTTCTTATTAGAAGTTCTCTTCTTTTTTCTTTTTCCTTTCCAACCCTAAAGTAAAAGTAATTTTTGTTCCTAAATAAACTTATTTTTAAAAAAATACACAAATAAACTCTTCATAATTATGTTGATATAATTGTAGAATTGTTTATTATTCATAAATTAGACATTGAATGTTATGAAATCGAATTCTGACGTCTGAGCAACATTTATACGTAAAAAATCTGAATATAAGAATATTATCTATTTAATAAAATTTAGAAAAGTTTATTTGTGTAATTTAAAAAAAATGTTTGGAAAAAATAATCTTGCATCTCTTGCACTAAATATTATATATAGATAAATAACATAGTCCATGTACTTTATACTTCAAAATTTTTCACTTTCCAATAACAATTTATTAACTATTGTCTCAGCCTTGACTACAGTTTTAGTTATTTTTAATCAAAATTAATTGATGTTCTCATTTTTTAAAAATAGTATTATTTATTTTATTTCTAATTTATCCCCAGATAACTTTTATTTGTAATACATTAATTGTTTTTATTGTGTATTTAAAAAATTTAAATCGTTCTTATTATGGACAGAGGTATTATTATAAAAATAATAGTAAAGAAATAAAAAGTTTTTTTTTCTTAAAAATACCAATTCTATAATATCAATGTATCACCATATTTTTTAATCAATGAGATTCACTCTTTTTTTTGGTACTAATTGACAACACCAAATATTTTGACAAATTTAAACCAACATATTAATTTTAATATTTTTTCTTTAATTACTAAAATTACTTAATTCAACTAACATTTTAAGTTATATATTTTAATTTAAGTTTAATTAGGTGTTAAATTACTCATAAATTTATGTATTTTTACTTTATTTTCTTTTAATTTTTTTACTCTGTTGAGTAATTAAAATATTCATTTATTTTTCATTTAAGTTTTTAGTGTTTTTTGTTAACCGTGGAAGATGATTGTTCTCTCTCTTGTCTTCTTATCTATCTTAATGGTCTCCTTAAGAAATATGAAATTATGATTAAATATATGAAAAAAAATATATATGAGAAACATGGTTACCCAAAAAAATTTCATATTCAAATTATTTTAATTGTCTCCTTAAGAAATATGAAATTGTGATTAAATATAAAAAACAAATATCAGAAACATGTTATCCAAAAAAGAAATCATTTTTCTTATGTGAATAAATGAGATAATATAACAACCATATCATGAATTTTTAGATACTTAATACAGTAACAAAATTTAACAGAAACTTAATTAAAAAATATCTAAAAATTTATATTTTTTCATAAATTTGAAACTTAATCCATCCTTTATTTTGTCTGAGAGAAATATTAGAAGATGTTTCTTGATAATTTATGACATTCTCTAGTATTAGCCACTTAAAGTTCATTGAAACATACAAATTTAGAAACAATTAATAGAGATATATAAATCTTATCAGTTTAATTATTTATTTAGTCCACTTCGTTGCACAAAATTACGAAGAGATGTGTTAACATTTCACATTCTGGAAACTTCATCTATCAACGTGTATATATATATATTCTTATTAATTTTATCATATTTTCCATGTGAATTTCACTTCACATAATTCAAAGAGATCATTAGTAATAGCTGTATGAGTTGGTGAACTTCAGGTGGTCCTTGATAGCAAGCCACTTGCCAGGAAGAACCGACAACGAGATTAAAAATTACTGGAACTCTAACTTAAGCAGAAAAATTTACACTTTCCGAGGCACAACTAATACCAAACCAGACATCATCACTCTCACTCTACCTCCCAAGAGGAAACGTGGTAGGACAAGTCGCTGGGCCATGAAGAAGAACAAGACATATTGCGCCCCTAAACAAAAGCAACAGCTCTTACCAGCAGTTCCTCTTCCACCAACACCTCCACTTGAGACCGAGAAACATTCTTTCACCCATGAGAATACTACTACTCAAGAAGAAGAAAACCTAGTCACTAATGCCACATGGGTTGAGGGTGAGAAAGAAATAATGAACATCTGGGGACCCTATGACGAGGAATTTATTAATGGGGGAGATGGGGATCAAGTGTTGTGTTTTGAATCTTTCAACGACATCATGAACAGCTACTGTTCCCAAGCAAGTGGGTGTTGGACCATTTCTGATGAAGGTTACAGTGAGAGCAGTGAAGTGGTTGGGAATAAAACTTGTGACCACACCGTTTTGTCGAGTGGTCGGGAGAAGCAGTGCTTTTGTTCAACCAAGTTTTCTTCTGATTCTGACTTATGCCAAAGCGCGGCACAGCTGGATCATAAGGATGAGTCTCTGCTGGATCATAAGGATGAGCCTCTGCTGGATCATAAGGATGAGTCTGTGTCGTGGGAGCAGCATCAGAGCCTCCTCTCTTGGCTTTGCGAAGATGAAGATTGGGAGAAGGATTTGCAGAGCGTTGGTGAGATTGATCCTCAGAAACAAAAGGACATGGTTGATTGGTTTCTCTCTTGAGAACACCCTCTTCTGCTTCTCATCATCACTTTAGTTTTGGACCTTAAGGACCAATTTCCCTTTCCTTTTGGAATGTAAAAACTGTAAACATTGAAGGGAATAATATTTTATTTTAGCTTAAATGCGAATACATAGTACTCCTAGTGCATAAAAATTATCTAAGAATGTAGATTCTTGCACGATTACTTGTGGTTATTAATCAAATATAAAACACGTTACAGATAAATAACTAAGAAATAAGAGCACGCCTTAGTATTTATAGTTTTTTTTTAATTAAAAGAAAGACAATTTTTTGTATTAAAATAGTGCTTGCTATATTTCAAGCATTCATGTAATATCTATTTTTATTAATAAAGTTTTTGTTTTATATATTTATCCTCCTCTTTCAAGGTTAGCACATAGTACAAAGTGAGTAATTGTTTTTTCTTAAGAAACATTACCAATCTCTAATATTTTCACCAATTAATGAATAGATATTTCATTTACCCACATTCTTTCCATCCATAAAGTAATTTCAAATTGTATATTTCTTACTTATCAACCTTAAACTTAAACTCCGAATTAATGATATGTAAATTTTACTTAAATCTGAGTCCAATTTTACTCTAGCAATAATTAGTTTAATAATATATCATCAAATAATTACTTTTTTTTGTCAACAAATTATTTGCAAATAATTATTTTCTTAGCAGACCTAGTCATTAGTATTCTATCTCTTAAACCAATTCTATTGAGATTTGAAGCTCAATGAAATCAGTTCAGAGGACTATATTATAGAAGTTCACCTAAACTTGAATCCTTAAATACATAATATGTATTGATTTTATTGTGACGAGGGTAAAAAGTTTTAAAACATTACTGGTTAGAATGAAATTGAAATTCCTGGCTGGTCAAGAGAACGAAAATCTACATGGAAAAGACTCTTTAACATTCAAATAAAAAAAAAATTTAAAATATTTATGAATACAATGAATCACTACAAAAAAAAAAGGACATTACCGACGGCCAAAATCCCTCAGAAACAGCCAAAAGCCGTCGAAAAAAGACAATTACAGACGGCAGGGTAAGAAGTTATAATATTTCTTAAGTTATAAGCCTTCGGTAATTACCTCTATACCGACGGCCTCAAGGCCTTCGGTAAAATACCGTCTGTAAATCCCAATTTTCCAGTAGTGAATATAAATTTTTATAACTTAAGAAATATTAATTATATTCATAAGATCAACACATAAATATATTTTTTTCATTGGACTAATATTTACATCAAAAATATAATAAAAATATAATTAATAATAACACAATGACATCTTATCATAAACAATAATCATTATACAAATTAACGAAATTAATTATGCTATGAAGATTGTCTCAATAAACATAAATTTAGACTCATAAAAAATAAGGATTACGCTCTATTACATAAAAACAAATATAAATTCACTTTATGTTATAAAAGAAAATATTATAATATTTTAAATTTTTTTATTTACCAATAATATTAATTACTTATAGACTGATTTCCTCTGATCAATCATATGCTTAGATTGATTACTTACCAACAATATAGTAAGTATAATCACAATAGATTTTCAGCATATAAACAAAAAGTGTAAACTAAAATAAAGAAATAATATAATCAATTTCACTAATTAGAAACATTCAAATAATAATTTGTAAATTCAGTTACACACGTGTATATTTTCACCATAATAAAAATATATATATTTATTGACAAATAAAATTCTTTGTTAATAAAAAAATTGCATCAGTAAAGAAACTTCTAATAAAAATATGACGATAAAAAATTCACCAATGAAATGTTTGTTTGTAAATTTATTTTACAAATGACAAGAAGAATTTGGTCGATAATTATCGATAACTATATATTTTTTCGTAATTATTTGTTGATAATTATAAAAAAGAATTATTTATACGTATATATGATCCATACACATTCTCATAATTTTTTTAATTAAATCCATATAAAAACCCAAATATACTATATACTCTATAAAAAAGTTACTACATAAAGATATTAAGCCCAAAATTATAAATAGATAGTTCATCATATAATGTAAAGTCTTCTAAAGTAAAAGATTTTTAAAACGTATTTCAAAATTTAAGTGATTGATCATACTAATAAAAGACATTTTTATCTACATTTATGCTATAATTGTGTAACTACTACTAGATATTTATGCTATAATTATGTAACTATTATATATCTTGTGATAATTTGAGTAGTGCTCTTTTTTAACTCATGCGTTATTTTGTGCTCATGTAAAATATATGACCATAGCAACCGGATACCAACTTCATAATAAAGCACGTGAGAATAAGTTAGAGTAATTTAAAATCATACTAATACTTTTAAGCATTAAGTAAAACTAAAACTAAAAGATCATATATATATATATATATATATATATATAT